TTGCTGCGTTAATGTAATCACATAGGGCAGGGGGCTCACCAAAGTAATATTATTACAAGTATGTTTTTCATAACAAAGATTTCTTAGCCATAAACTACCCCTGGGCCTTTCTGATATTCTGTGAGACATTTTGTGTGCTTCTAATGTCTTAGTGTCTTAAATTGTTTACTCTAACAGCTTGAAACGTCTCAGACTGTTGCCCTACAGTTTTATTCACTTTTACCACACTTGTGTGTTTTGAAGGGCTGGCAACAGAGTGAAGCTGACTGTGAAGCTGTCCACACCAACTGCAGCTGAATGATTTCTCTAGTGTGCATGAACTGGTGCCTCTTCATGTCTAACTAAAGACATGTCTGACTAAAGCTCTTTCCACACTGCAGGTGGCTGAATGGCTCCTCTCCTGATGAGCATGCTGGTGGCTTTTAAGGTTGTTAAATAACCCAAACCTTTCACACACTAACTGCAGCTGAAGGTCTTTCTCCTGTGTCAATGTATTGGTGGCATTTTAAAGTGGCTTGATCGACTGGAGCTCTTCCCACATCAATTGCAGCTGAATGGTTTCTCTCCAGTGTGACGGCACTGGTGCACTTCAAGCTTGAATCGCTGTTTAAAACTGTTGCCACAGTGAGAGCAGGAGGGTAGCCTCTCTCGGACCGAGAGTGCTGATGTGCAGAAATGCTGAGTGAGAGACTGACACCTTGTCTACTCTGTGCACTGTGGGTAGTCATCAACCCCTGGGTCTCTTTTGATATCTGCTGTGTGCCTACTCACAGACAGAGGGATCAGAGTGCAGGAGGACAAGGCCTCTGAATTACAAACACCTTCAATTTTCTTCATTATTCTGTGGCCTTGTTGTTGCTCTTCTATTTTCAAGCTTTAATGGAGTTTTTAATGAAAGTTTGGGAGGAATGCGGGCAGCCAAGCTTATCAAACTCAGCTGCTGCAAACTCTCAGTCAGTCTCCATACTGTACATACCAAATGTCACCCTCTGTTCTTCCTCAATCATTTTTTTTGCATCCCTCCTCCACCTCTACCTTTGCAGCTGCCCATAGGGGTCCTATCCTCCCTGTCCAATAGCCGGGAGGTTGGCCCTCAGCCGAGCGGGTTAAGCCAAGTCTTCCGCATCTCAATAAACAATTCTACCTTCTCTCAGCCTTCGGCTGCTGTCATTCCTCTTGAAGCTGTATTGTTTCTGCTGGGCGTGGTCCAGCTGAGGGATGTTCCCTGCACTGTGTGTAGACACTTGCTCAGTCTCCTCCTTAACTGAGATACAGTCCAGTTAGGCATCCTCCTCTGCTCTGCAGGGTGGAGCAATGGTGTCTCACATTTCTGTCCTGTCATGTTAACGTTGTCCAGCTCATTTGGTTCCTCTACTTTGTACGCTTGTGTAAATACAGAGTGCAGTCCATTACGGCTGTGGGATATACACTCAGTGCACTGAGCTCCTCCTTGCTCTGGATGCTCCAGTGCTTCTCACTGAGTGTCTCTTTGTCTTGTGGAGAAGTGAGTTCTGTATGCTGGAGTCCCCCTCCTCTCCACAAAGATACTATTCAATAGCAGCCCTTTCTTCAGCAATCATGCAGACCACCAACTTCTGAAGGTATTAAAGAAAACACAGGGCAACAGAACAAGGCTTCATAGCGGCACTAAATATGGTTCGACAGTGAAGTTAAGCAATGCCATAGTAAAGCAAAATAAAGTACATAGTGTATGACCATTGTGGCATTTTATTAATAAGAACCACATTAAAGACATTAATACAAATTAATGGAGTCTATATTTAAAATGTGAAGACTACTACAGTACAATAAAATGTAAAATATAAATGAAAGGAACAACCCCTAGAGCCTTTTAAAATACGCTATATCCAGAAACCTTTCATAACTGAAACTGAACTGCTGGGTAGTAGTTGTAGCCCCATCTGACTCGTTTAACGCGTAACATAAATGCTGCTTGTAACCAAAATAAAAAAGGTTTGTCTTACAAAACATAGCCCATGCATCTGAAGTGTGTTACAGTCCCAGCATCCCACCAGCAGAGGGCACTTCAACCTCTAGGGGTTACTTCTTCTGTACAGCAGAGGCGCAGATCAGTCGGTTGCCTCTTGACCCTGGCCTTGGATTACCCTTACTAACTGGATTAGGATACATGTATTTGTGATCTTGAAACCTGCATAGGGTCCTTCATTGTTTTTCTAAGGTGTGGGCCAGTTTAACCAAGTAGAGCTAGCTCAGACTCCAAGTGACAAGCAACATTTGGAGTAACCTGTCTATTTGAGTACCATAGTTAAACCACTGTAATTTCAAGATGGCCAATACCATTTTGCAATGTAGGTGTATACAGAAATTAGATGTACTGTAAATCTCTGCAAAACTGTTTTTCATATTTGTGTTTCAGGGTCCAACTAATCTGTTTTACATGACTTTTATTTCATCTTGTATTTCCAATTGGACACCTCTTGCATTGTACCACTGTTCTTGCTTAGAATAACTGAGTACTACTGATTCTACATTTGTCTGTCTATGCCATAGAGCATTAATGTTTGTTGCATATATGCTTCATTAAACAATATGCACTGTAAGCAATGAGCAGATATATTTCATTTTCAGCACAAATCACTCAATCAAGGTTTATCAATGCATGTACAGTACAGCATACAGCGGTGTTGTTGGCAATGAAATGCTTTGTCTGTGAGCTTGTTAAAAGGGATAGAGTAGAAGGACAGATGTTTATAGGGGTTAGGATTATGATGCAAGAAATTATACAACTGCTATTTACTATACAGTTACAGATTGTATGAATGTAACACAAGGATAGGAGGTATTTCATACAGTACAGTACGTGTCCTGAGAGTGCAAAGTGTCAGGAGAGCACCGGTGCACCCTATCAGTTCAAGTAGGTTGTCTATTCGCCAGTGGAAAATATCGACATTGCTGATGTTTTTTGGACATGAATCACTACTAATTGCCTCCTTTTAATGACTCCAGGCGTGACATGCTGGAAAATGTAATTTAAAGAGAATTAATCCGTTGAGTAAATGTTGCAGACAGACCTAATGAAAGCCACATTTGGAAGCCATATACAGTACTTCATTCGTTGCATGGATTAGTAATGGAATAGCTAAGCAAATCTTTTATTCATACTTGTGCTATTTTAATATTCTTAGGACTTTCATGTTGCTTGTCAGTAAAAGTTAACAATTTGTCAGGTTTTTTGTTCATATTCAATTTGTAAAAAATGGACAAAAGCCTTCATTTGTATGATAAGGCATTTGAACGAAAGGCAAAGAAGATGCATAAAGAGGTATTGTATTGATTCTGTTTGACATTGACTAGTCCAGTTGTATTATTTATAACTACCTATTATACTGTAAGTGTATTCATTCTGTCATTTAGAATTGCTTACACTTATATAGCGCTTTTCTAGACACTCCACTCAAAGTGCTTTACTTTTAATGGGGACTCCCCTCCACCACCACTAATGTGCAGCATCCACCCGGATGATGCGATGGCAGCTGTAGTGCGCCAAAACGCTCACCACACATCCACTATTAGTGGGGAGGAGAGCACAGAATGAAGCCAGTTCATAGATGGGGGTTAAGAGGCCATGATTGGTAAGGGCGAATGAGAAACTTGGCTGTTCCTTCTCTTAAGTTACAGTTACTCTTTCAAAATCCTGTCTGTTTGTCACTGACAAGGTAAACTGATATTTAAATACTGTAATTCACAAAAGTAATGGTTCATGGGGCATAAAAAAAGAGTGTATGGAAATCAATTTAAGATTTCTAATCAATCTGGCATGATAGCTTAGTATTTGAAAAAAGGGGGCATACTGTACTACAGCGAGCACTGGGTCAACTATATTCACAATACTGCCAACAGCAGGAAAATTCCTATTCTTTACTCAACAGCTTTTTAAAAACGGCACACATGATGTTCAAACTGATTTTTTTTTTACACAGGAGACTTACAGCTTTGCATTGTGGATCTCCTTTTCTCGTGGTTTTATTTAGTTGCACTATGCACTGTGATAGGCGAGCCAATAGCATTTAAACCACAACGCTGCAACCAAGCATTTTACACACTAGGCAGGCCCTCTCACCTTTCACAGCATTGCTTTGGGTTTTGAAACTTTTCTTCCCCCCAATACGGCACCATTAGATAGGCTGTACATGGGGATAGGGGGTGCGGTCGGGGGAAGATTGTTGGGCTGGGGTCCCAGCTTTTTGAAAGGTTGTACCACTTAATTTCTACTTTACACCCAAAAAATTGAAAGGGACTTTTAAACTTAACATCTTAGAATAACATTTTAATATTTGTATCTTTATGTACCATTGTCTTAACATAATTCCCTGTCATAATCCAACAAAATTACATGGGTTTAAAAGCATTCTAACACCAGAAATCATGCTACTTTCCTAACCATAAATTAATTCCCCAGTTTCACTGTAGTCTGGCAGCTAAACCTGTTCATCATAATATATGGCTATTGTCTGACATACTGTTCATTAGAGGTTTTGGACTTTGGAGTGTTTTGCCCCACCACTTAAAAGCTGTGTCCCCAAAACCATTTTACTCTTTCTTGATGGGTACAGGGGAAATCATCAAACTATCCTCCCCTAGTAATGTATTTGCTATTTTATTTGTTTTTGGGTCAACAATATAGGATAACTTGGTAGGCAAAAGACAATATCAATCTCCATCAGAATTAGGACATTCCCCTAAGCCCCGCAATGTATCTGGCTGCTGCTGTGAAATCAGTCCAGCAAAGGACAATGTCTTTTCTTGGTGGCCCATATTCTACAAAACATTCTAAAAAGGATGCCAGGTTGCATTGAGGTGTTTGTTTTATCCCCCCCTTACCCGTTTAAGTTTAATGCAGCAGCAGCTCTCCTTGTTCTCAATGGATTTACAGGGCAGATCCCTGGCCTCCAGTATTTAAATCTCTCATTTTTGTTTGTGCATTGGGCTGTAGAAGAAGTGGCAAGTTCAGAGAGAAATTTAGTCCTGGGCAGGATTCTTTATTAGAAAGGACACAAACTGTAAAGGGAACTCAGTTTCCAGGTTGTTTTTTCTGTGTTCCCTTGTCTGCAGATGGCAGGACTCTGAAACTTCCAGGCAGAAACATGCCAAGTGCTGCGCAGTATTCCCTGATGACTGGGGAGGTGTATACTGTAATTGTTTACTTTTCTAAATTTACTTCTGTAGAAAGCTGTTGTCAGGACCTGAGTTTGGTTTGATTAGCTTTTTTTTCACACTTTAACTTGCCCAGTTTGTGACAGGAAAGTTTTTGTAAACATCTCCATACAGCTGCAAGGGCAATTAAATAAAAATAAGTGGATTAGAATGACATACTGGGGAAACTTCTGTCCAATAACTTATTCAGTAGGGAAACGGATCACAGTGTTCGAAAACTGTCAGGTTTATAAATATGATTCTGTAAAGCTATTTGTGAGTCACTGCAAGTCATGGTGAACTGAACAGCTGCATGTACAGTATGCATTTATCACATTTAACAGAGAAACATGTTTATGTGCAAAGCCAACAGGTCCCCTGGCTGAGCCTCATACAGTATGTCTGATCAACAACATTAAACCACATTGATAAAAGCCAAGCTTTTCATTAATACTGATTTTAAAGGTGTTTAAAATGTCAGATTCTGATAAGGAAATCTGAATATAATTACTTATATGATCTGGGTCATGCACTGTAGGTCAGCTGTTTAAGAATTGGGGAAAGTACAGTCTAAACAGTCTTATTTCTGTTATAGATTGAGATTTGGAAATCATAGTAAGACATCCCTCTTGGCTTTCTCCGATTTGAGAAAACTAAAAAAAAAGGCTTATCAGTAGGACATTTCTTTAATGCCCCCTCGCACTACAACAAAGCAATGTGTGGTATACATGTTGATAAGAACAACTGCAATGAATCAAGATTTCTGTCCAAGTACTGTACAGGTGATAGCCTCAAAGTAACCCAGAAGCACACAGCACACAGCAGAAAAAACTAAGCTCCTAAATGACTCTGAAAAAATATACACATAAGCAAACTGATTCTGAAAGTAATAAAGTCCAGCCCATCCTTTTTATTTTCTTGTTGGTGCATCCTTTTAAATTTCTTCATAACAGACTTGATCATGGCTTAAGATTGCTCACAAAATGGGTTCTGTTTATTGCCCAGGAGAGTTCTAACTCAAGAGTAAGAGGCAAATGCACTATGTACAGTACTTTATCCCTTTAGGACTCGTATATACTGTACATCTGCTTCAATTCCCTTATTCTCCAGATGTACAACAGGATGCTGTGCAAATTCTTCTGTAAGATATGCCATCTGCTGGCATTAATTCTGTACTGCAAAGTTCCTGTCATAAATAAACAGCACTTATTAGACAACAGAATCCTCAAGAACTGACCAGAGTGCATGAAGTCAAGCTCGCCCACATGCTTCTAAAACAATTTAATGTGGCTCTTGAGTTCTCATGTATTTGAATAACAGCTTCGGGAAGGAATGTTTGGAAGTCCTGGGCTGAATTTCACCAGAATTATCCCAGTGTAGGTAAAGGCAGTGCAGACAAAGAACAGATCACAGTAGGTGAATCGGTAGCAATGCCAAAATCCAAGAGACGTGGAGACGGAAGGAGAGGGGAAGGTGGTGTCTGCTGCGTCCACCTCCTGGTTTACTTGGCAACTCTCCTGAGCTCAGCGAGTAACCAGATGGCCAAGGTGAGAAGTGCCAGAGATCCCGACTGGTGTGTGGCTGCCAGAGGCGTAGGCACATACAGGAGCAGGGTGCTGATGCCCAGCCCCACCTGAGGAGGAAGAACAGGGAGGTCACCTGACTGCAGAACAAGAGAATGCCAAAATAAAATGGACAAGGATTTTGACATGTTCTTTAATAATGCAACTTACAGTATTTCTACTGTTTAACAAACATGTGTTATTGCTAGCCATATGCCAACATCAAACCTGGATCACTGTCCCACTAAAAGTACTGGGCTTCAGTTTATTAGGGGTGATATCTTTTACTCAGCTGTTTGTTTCACTTTCAAAACCTAAAATTGTCTAAGGTCCTAAATGGGACAGACCTCAGAAGCTAAGGAAGCACCTGCTGCGTAGTGGGGCTACTGGAGCATTACAGCTGCCAGAAGTTGCCCCAAATGGGTGCTGGAGTCCAGCTAAACTAAACTGAACTGGGGTCCCGTTTTCTATGTGAAGCATTTTTTAGATTTCCCTTGGATGAGAAACACCATACAAAAGCAATCAATACTATTATGTTTTGTGGATGCCTTTACCTCAAACTATCTTGGGTGGGGGGGGGAGCAGAGTTATGGCACTAGTGACCACTTGACTTGCAGTGGTAGGATATTGTGGACAGAGACAGATAACTGTTTCCTGCAAACATGTAATAAACGAATGAAAACGTCTCTATTACAAAAGGGTAATGAGTCATGATGACTAGAGACAAAGAAAGCAAAATTATGCTATGGGCCACTAAAACGGAATGTTCCTCATTTGGTGTCACTTTTCTGATGGAAATACAGCTTTTTAACAGGCAGCCAGTGAACATGACTGACTCTCACGCAGGCCGCAATGATGCGCGTCATGCTCACCTGCAAGTAGGCCATGGCCAGCAGGGAGGTCATGGCCATTCTGGCTCTTCTGGGCAGAGCCATTCTCCTGGAGAAGAGGTACAGGCCAGTGATGGCCGCCACTGAGCCAATACCCTGCAGAGAGATGTGGCATGGATCAATCCCAGCTTGCCAAAGCAATGCACAAAAACACGGCAGGCAGGAATAATCAGTGCTGTGGGGCCATCAAGCAAAAATGGGTTCACATTTCTTTTGTGACTTAAAACGCTTTCAAACATGCTAAAAAAAACTCATTCAGATGCTATACTATAATATAACTGCAATAGAATAAGTAAAGTCTGCCTGAAACGTTCTTTAAAGTAGTTGTATTACCCCAGCAAGATCAGCTCTAAAGGACTTCTCTGGTTATTAATAGAATGGTGACAGTTATCTTGGATCACTACTATGCAATTGCTGAATTTCTCTGTCAGGTATAGGGGGGGAAGTCATTTAATAGAGTATTTATAATCTGTCCTTTCTACAAGAGGACTCTAAACTCTCACTTGGGATTTTTCAACTGAAAGTCAAGCCTAATAGAGAAACTACTAATTCTGTAAAGCAGGACTCTTTTTAGTTCAACTGCACCTTCATGCACAAGGACACATCCTATTTCAAAATAAAATGGAATATTTTATCGATTATCTGGTGAAAAAGGAAACCGTAATGATATGAACCCTATTTTCTTGCTAAAGGAAGCAGAGTGACATGTGAAGTATTTAAGGGACATTGCTTTTCACGCACACTGAATTAATATTTCACTCCATTGTTGTATCTGCAGAGTTTCAAGGACTCAACTTCTGCAGGTTATTATTTTTAATAAAATCTGTATTTTAATATTTTATTATGTTATTTCTGGATGCTTGACTGAAGGCGCTTTATAGGTAATGGGTCTCCCTTCCACCACTACCAATGTGTAGCCCTCACCTTGATGATGCGATGGCAACCAAAGTGCACTACACATCAGTGGGGAGGAGAACGGAGTGAGGAAGCCATTTCATAAATGAGAGCCATGATTGTTGAAGGCCGGTGGGAAATTTGGCCAGGACACCAGGTTAACACTCTTATTCATTTCGAGAAACGCCCTGGGATTGTTAATGACCATCAGACATCAGACCTCAGAACCAAGGATGGCAGGTTTTTGAAAGTATAGTGTCCATATTGCTATACTGGGGCATTAGGACCCACACAGATTGCAGGGTGAGCAAACCCCCCCCTCTAATAAGTCCTAATAAGTTGTAACATTAGTTGTTTGCAGGCTTTCACAACAATAACGATTTCTTATTTCTTGATAACCTCCCTGTACCAAATTCTTTTCTGTGTTTGTGCTGTAAGAAGCTCTTGCCAAAAAAGCCTTTATTGCACAGAATATTAGAATGTCTCCCTGCCCTAACCATTAATGTTTTGCAGTAACAGCACCGTTTATGCCTAGTAATATGTAGATTTTTAATATTTGGGGTGGCACAGTGGCATCACTCTCATAGGTCTGGGGTCCAGGGTCTAATATCAGATGGGGTGCACTGATCCAACACCACCTGGATCAATTAGCTACTAAATGAGCTAGGGGGGGATCAATGACCACCTCTTGGTTGCAAACTTTGTTGTTATGTTCTGAGCAGGGTATAGTTCTGCTTTGCTCTACATGCTCCAGGTTGCCTTGAGCCCTAAAAGCAATAATCCAGCTGATTATCTGGACAGATGTACAGTAGATATATTTTTGTTGTTGGATCTGCAAGATTCTCTCTTGGACAGAAGATGTCTTGTGTCTTATGAACCAATTGTTATTTTGCTTCATCAATGAAAGTAATACAATTGGACCTTTTTGTTAACATCTTGCATTTAGGAGCATTTTTGGTAATTGTGGTCAGAGACTGTTCACAGACCTTTAAAAAGTGCAACGCTACCCTTTACACTTGTAACTATAAATCCTAATATTCTTTATACCCTTTTCACACTTCCCCACATTGTGGAGTAGGCAGAACTGACAAAGACATTCATATTAAGCCTAATTTCTCCTTTTAAACAGCTTTTCAAATTTCACTAAAATGGTTATGATTAAGCTAAAGTTAGAGGATCTGGTGTTTAACAAATGGACATTCTTCCCCACACGATATGAGGCTTAAAAGAAGACAACAAATGCCCAGTAACAATTGACTGGACATGCCCGTGCCTCAAGCCCTTCTGTGAGGGTCTGCAGAGGGTTAAAAAAGAAGCCCTTGGGTTACCAGGATGCGGTGGTCGAACTGGACGGTGGTGGGGTTCTCAAAGAAGTTCTTGAGGGTGGGGGAGAAGGCCAGCAGGTCATCGGGGATCCAGCTCTCGCCCATTTTAGGGAAGGAGTTATAGACCAGGCCAGCATCTAATCCTGCCACAAATGCCCCTGGAACAAACAGAGCGTCTCAACTCAAAAGTCAGCCTCATGGATTGTCTTTGGTGACACCATCTCTTTCAGCTGTTATTTTGCCAGAATACTCTTGATTCTACCTCAACAGTGCACAACACACAACAGGCAGCAACAGGGCCACAGGATGCGTGCTGTGTTCTGTCCAAAAAAGGACAATTGCTTTTGTCAATGTCACAGTTGCATCCCTGGAATCTGCATATCTATCAAAAATGCATAAAATGAAATTATACAATACTTTCAGAAAGGTTTAACTTTAACCCCATTCTTGTCCCCTGACAGTGCACTGACTGACTTACATTACTCTAAGTATTTAAATGGGATTTGCATTTACAGATATTTTGCAAACAAAAGTATTTAAGGAACATGTTTTTCCTTCTCCTTATTCAACTATCTTCCAGCCGTTTTGTTTTCAATCTCATCTGAAACCAAGTAGGATATTTTATGATGTGCTATGTTTTCAGTTTTGTATAAGTGATTTAATAATGGAGTCATCAGAAACCCAACTAAGATGACAGTACGTTTTGACTTTGGATTGTTAAAAGAAAACGGGGGAAAAAAATGGGCATTCTTTTTTCCCCAACTAGGAATTAACTTCTACTTGTTTCCTTGCAGCCTAAACACTGACACTACTCCACAATTCCTCCTGGCACAATTTTAGGTTTTCATCTTTGTTCCAATTTGATCTCTGTGTGACCAGCAGCCATGACTAGTTAGCCAACGCAGGTTCCCAGCTCCACCATGACTGGGTGAGCACCCACTCTTGAAAAGGGTTTAGTCCGACCAACAGGGACTGAGAAATCAATCAAGGCTATTGACATGCAGAAGGCAAACAGCAGCAGCATTTATCAGATTAGTTGTAAACATGTTCCTTTATTTGTCTGCCTCTGTGCATCTGCCTGGTGATGGCCATGACTCCCATGTTACGCCCTGTGATTCAGCAATATGTTATAGCTTGACAAAACCTGCAACAGGAATTAGAGGCTTCTTAATAAGAAGCTGTGAAGGGTTAGGGAGCGTGTGGCTGTGGGGGGATGGGTGTTGCGCCACAGAGGACCCAGAATCAAACCTGTTAAAGAACTGGTTCAACTT